TAGGGGATTAAGGTAATGCCATAGCATACATTTATTTTTATTTTTTTTTTATTTCTATAAATCTATTGTTATTTCTGTTTATTATATTTCTTTTAAAGCCATCCAAATTAATTGAGATGCAGGAAACCCATGGAAGAAAACCAGACAGGAACAAAGAAAGCATGCAAAACAAACACAAATTGTGCCAAAGCACAAGAAAAATTCACAGCTGATCTAGTGACTGACATATAGCCCTTTTGGGACAACCTCATTACCAGTGACARCACAGTGATCTTGCATCAGAATATTTAGCAAAATGGCAGTCAAGAGGTAGAGTGTTAAAAAGCAATTATGGGCTGGTTACGTACGCTTACATTCACCTAGCTTGCTTCATCAATGTTCACATTAATTATATTCACAAGCTCAGCTACTACTTCTTTTTTTTTTTTTTTTTTTTTTTTTTTACTGGAAAAGATCAGAAATCTTGATATATGAGTCACTACTAGGTAGCGTCAACTCTTTCAAAAAATAAAAGACAAGGAAAGGAAAAAGAAATAAAGGAAATTTTGTTTCATTGCAGCTCTGAATAAGCTCCAGACCTCCCAATTAGCATAATTGTCATACAAGTTAATGTCAGTTTCCAACAAGATTTTTATTTATTATTCTTTTGCTCATTTCAGTATTCATTTTTATGTTAAATGTGGCAATGGCATAAGAAAGCATAGTATCAACACAATAATGTCTTCAAACATTAAGCTGTGGAAAATTGTACATTAACCTCCTTCAAAAATAATGCATGCAATAGCCTGGATTTCTCTAGCAACTTGCTTCTGATTTAAGGGGCTTCAGCTCCTGTTCTACAGGAGATTTGAAACACCTATCATTTAAGAACAGTATCAGCTAAGATGGATCTCTCACTATGGTCATTTATTAAGTGATGACCATAAACCACCCAAAATATACTGAATGCAATCAGTGCATCAGAGAAGCTTCTTTTCTCCTGAGAGTCTCTCATTAAAAAGGCTGCTTACCCTGCTGGATAATCTGAATATTTTGACATCATCTTCCATTTACTCTCATTTTGGTAATCTCCACTGACGGTAATACACTAGCCTATGCTTTCAGCTTGCAAATCTTCCTTCAGGCTTGTATTATAACTTTGTCATTGGAAGTAAAGAAGGAAAAATAATCAGCCATAGACTGAGCTAACAAGTTGTTGCTGTTGTTCCATAAAGAAATCTTTACTTTAGCACAGAACTTTGTTTTAATATGTTTAATTGGTATTAGAAGGAGTTTGACCATATCAACACCCACTGCACAAATTAACACTAATTAGTTTTTCTTCTGTTTGCAATTAAGATCTTTCCAGTCCTTCCATAAAAGAAACCGTTTGGAATCCAGGCACTGCATTTTAGAATGGATATTTAATTAGTGCTAGAGCCAAATGTTCCTTTCTAGCAAACAACACTGAATCCCAATATGCTGTTAGCCTCAAATTCCAACCTTTGAGTATATAGCATCTTTTTGTCTACCTGGGGCTCACAAAACCTTCCTAAATAAATAAATTGGCAGTTCACTGTGAATGGGTTAAAAACAGGTAAGAGCAATACTGTATTTCTAAGAACTCACAGCCTTCTGGATCTTGCTTCAAGCACAGGTACTTCCCCTAAGAAAAGTCTCTCAGATATGTCAACCTTTTTTTTTTTTTCAGGAAAAGTAGCAAAATTCTCTTAAGAAGATGCTACTCACTGTGCAAGCATTAATTATCTAGGAATTGTAGGACACTACAGAAATAAGAAACAGTGAAGTTCTTAGAAGCTCATTTTTATTTTATTACTCTTTCGGTATTTCAGGACTGAAAAAAAATAATACTGACCCAGACATGCCTATCATGAGATACTGTCAATCACAGAGACTATCTAAAAAAAAAGAGCCTAGTCATAACCACGGGTACATCACTACTCACTACTACTCACTACTCACTACTCACTACTACTCACTACTCACTACTCACTACTCACTACTAAAGGGAGTCAAAGGAGGACCCATCTTCAGCTAACTGTCAGAACTTTTCAAATTGGGAAATACAGAAATGATGTGTTGTAGCTTCTACAGATTCCTCAAATTAGAAATCACAAGAATTACAAAGAATTATGAAGAATTCTACATCTTCCTTAAGGCAGAACACAATATACAGTAGGATAAATACTACTAATAAAAGCCCTAAACTATTAAAAGCAGAAACAGGACTGATCAGTGGTTTCATTAGGAATGACTGACTTCTCCGGCTGTCAAAATGTCAAGTTAGTTGCACTAAAGAAACTAACAGATTTCTGCTTGCTATGTCTTTGGCAGACATAAGTTAATTTGAAGAATGAATGTTTCCTTTGCACATTTTACTTGTTAATCTTTTGAGTTCATTTCAGGTATCCATCCTGTTGCTCTCTTTTCATATGTAAGTTGGAACAGGGCCAAGGGACTCATTTGTGATGAGTTATAGCATTTTTGTTTTTGATTGCCATTTTTTAATTAATAGCTAAGGATTAGTGTTTCTAAAAGCATACAAGAGCCTTAAAAACCTAAATTCTAATTTTACAAATGATTTGGTCCTAAAGCACAATCAGCTTTAAGTTTTTAAGTAATTCTGTTGCCCATTAGTTATATACATAAGAAAAAAATTCTTCCTAAAAAATACAAAAAACAGAGGCCATTTTTTTCAGTCAAAAGATGATAATTATCATTTACCTTATTTTCTCACTTTGAAATTGGATCTAACTAACATTGTCTTTTCAGTGGTTTGGATCACTTGACAGGTCTCTCTTCCCGAAAAAACTAYTCTGTGATTCTGAGATGTTGTATAAAAATACTGTAAATATGAGACAAGTCTACTTTTGATTATGCATTTTCTAGGAATTAGGTTGGATTAGAATTTTTCAAATTTAAATAGAATTTTTCAATGAAGTACTACTTTAAAAAAAAAAAAAAAGAGTTTAAACATCCACACATAATTTAAGGACACAAAAACAGACCCTGTTAATGCATACTACATAGAAAACGCTCAACTCAGTGAAAAAGATGTAATTTTCTAATACACAAAAGGATGCCAACAGATATCATAGTCATGAACCCAGGCTAACAACCTGGGGGAAAAAAAAAAAAAAAAACACACCCACCTAAAATGTAATTTAGAATATGATTGCTCATTATTTATATCATATAGAAAGGATAAAAATATTTCAATAGATTTATGAGTAGAATTAAAAATAAATATTTAAATCAAAATATTAAGCCTAAAATTACAATGTTGGGAGGATAGCTTGACCCAGATCATAGTTATCATCTTATTCTGAAGCATGACAGATATTTATGCTCTCACATGCCAGAATAATTTTACAAAACAGGTGATGGTCATTTTTCTGTAGTTCAGAAGAGGTCCTTTTATTCACATATTCTTTTCAATTTATGGGGAAAGATCAGCAGTTCCGGAAGGGAATGCTCAAAATCAAGCTCTTACTCTGATTCTTTCCTTATTTCCCAGAGGAATCTCCTTACAATGACTGTCCAGAGTAGGACTCCAGGAATTCTAGCCTTAAGTTAGTTTTAGCAATATCTCTGCAGGAATCACCCAGAATCCAGCCCACAGTTTCTCTCTGTTGCAAATGTATATGGACTTCCAAAAGTTTCTGCATTCAGAGGGTTTCTCTTTTGTCTGAATGTGGTGTTTCTTTTTTTGATGTTTCTTTTTTTTTCTTGTTTATTGTTTTGCTTTTTGTTTATACCAAACAGCTTTTGGGAACTATTGCTATACAGCAGCATATAAGCTGACAATGTTCCTGCTTACATCAGACATACTGAAGACATAGATACATTTAAAATGAAATAATCCACTTTCTTAGAGATAACAATAGCATAGTTAGAACCAGGTAATGATATGACAGATTCAGGCTCCTGACAAGGCAATGTAAAGAAGAAGACCATTATGCAATTATACGTATTTAACTTTTGAGAATTCTTTCACACTGTTTTCCTTACTGGGGTTAATTTGCAAACAGATACAGYTCATCTTCTTTCAGTGCTAACCTGACCTTTCTGACAGGAACTTCACATTTCAASAAGATTTCCATGTTCTATATTCTTTTTCTGCTGTTCCCATGATGTAAGGGTGGGTGCATCTGTACTGGATATGGAAGTATGTTCCCAGGATGTAGGTGAATTAGGCCATGTTTTGACCCAGGAGAAAAGTATATTTTACCTATTGTGTTGTCTAAAAAGTTAAAATYTCATCCGATCAGTTCATTTCAGTTATGAAGTGGTCCTTTTAACTATTGATTTAGCTGTACTGAAGAGTTTTGAGACTTAGAACCATAACGTAGCATGACAGTTTAAACTAATTGCATCCCTTCAGTCATAAGTTTATTTATTTATTTCCCTAGAAAACTAAATTAAGTATTAATTATTTTCATATCCCCATTACTTCACTAGTTAAGTGAAAGATATAGGACATATTCTTGTAGGAGGAATAGTGTAGAAAAGGGTGAATCCATTTTAAAATGGATTCCTGTTCATGTATTTAAACGCCTAAGTGCCATTTGCACTGTTAGATTTTGAACAAGAAAAGATAATTACTTAATTTGTTCCTTCCTCAWAATTTCTTGTAACAATCTAAGGAAATTCTGTATGAAATCCTAGAGAGAATTGCAAGGAGAGAGGCTGCAGGATTTATATCCGGTTCAGTGATAACTAYAAAAGAGAATTAAATCCATGATGGATTAGAGCTAGAAACACAATAGTTGTTCAAAATAATATGGTAAATGTATTAATTGGATTATTTGTCCTTTTGTTTAACTAAAAGGTACAAAAAGATTTTTTTAAGGAATTTATTTGGAAAAAAAAAGAGCATGAATAAGTGTATTGATGTACCTTGTGTCCCATTCCTCAAATGTAGAGCTGTTTTGTGTCCTCACTCTGAGTACACTCATGAATTTCAGCAAGAAATGTTGGAAAAGAAAAGAAGAGCCTACCTATGTCACCAATGTCTGCAACAGCATCAATCACGTCTTCACTTCAGCCCCATCGATAGATTAATGTTGTCTGGAGGACTACAATGTCCTGTAATGACAGGTTATAAATCATATGAAGAAGGAATATGTCATGTTGAGACAATTATAGCACAAAAATACTSCAAATAGCACAAAAATAGTGCAAACAGAGATCTACCATTTCTACACAGATGCCTGAGACATATATTAGCTTTGTATTTTGACACTGTCTGCACTCATAAGAATAGAAGTTATGTAGAAGCTAGAATATAGTAAAGAATATTCAAGGCTTATATTTAACCTTTGCTTTAAKTTAGAATTCATTTACTTTCAGAGGAACTGAAGCAAATATAGTGCAATTAATGCATTTTAATATCCCAAATTATCTAAAAATATAGTTTACATTCATAATTTGGAGTTTAGATATCTTGAAATCTTATTGATTTATCGACAAATGTAGTTTTGATATAAAGGTATGATTCTTCTCTTGACAGAATATTATATAAAAATAATCCCTTTCTTCTAATATCAAGAGATGCGAAACTTA